TATATATATATATATATATATATATATATATATATAATTATTAATAATTATTATATATATGAATAAATTTTTTTTCCATTTCGAATTCAGAATTTTAAAATCTTTATGATCAAGAGTTATCATACATTTCTTCAAAATTTTCAATTTATTATATTCACTTTTGCCTATTATTTGACAAAATTAAATTCTATTTTCTTATTTTATATTCATTTTGAATATATTCATTTCTAATTTTGAATTTCTAATTTTCTTATTTCATATTAGGGTTTCTTTGTGGCTGTTTTATATTGTTTTCTCAACGGCGAAGTACGGACCGAAGTAACTAGGGTAATCAAAAATCAAAAAATACCCCATTTTCATACTAAGTGGGTCTCCAGACATTCCACTCACTCAGATAGTATGTGTAGTTGCAATGCATCGAAACTTGATAAACACTCGGAGCGATCACGTTGGTGGAAGGCACCTTGGCTCTATTTTCTTAATGATAGGACAGCACGACATTCTACCCACTCGATGGCGAGTATACAAGGTGTCCTCTCTATCCTATCAAAACTTCCGATCTTTAATGCCACACCTTTATTATGTTTTGATACTCTTCGTTATCATATTCGGATATTTTAATTCATCCTTATATTATTCTATATATATTTGTTGTGTTCTTATTAAATATATCTACTTTAATTTTGGAAAGAATTCGTATAAAAATTTTCTGTAATTAATAATATATGTGTGATTGAAGCATTGATTTTGATATATTTTTAAGAAAAAAATATTTTTATTTTATATTATCTTTTTATTTATTTATTACTAATAATATCTCTTTAATATCTCTAATAATATCTCTCAGAAAATTCCACGTTATCTTCTATTAAAAAATATTTCAAATAAGTTTTGCTTTTCTTTACTCAATATTTTTCATAAACAAAATAGAAAGTAAGTTATGAAATACTTCAAAAATATATCTCTTATTCTACAAATATTTTTTCAATTTTAAATCAGAAGTAGTTCTGATCTAAAATAGTTCATCTTATATTTATCTATTACATCATGTTCAGAATAATGAAAATTAATTCATAAAATGTTTTTTTTAAACAAAAAAATTCAAAATTCTATTAAATATTTTAAAAATTAAATGACATACCAAAATTAATAAAGATAGTTATTTTTAATAATAGAAAAATTATTTATCAAAAATTAAAATTATGAATGAAAGAAATTTCTATTAATTTTTTATTCAATATTTTTTAATGTAATTAATATAAGCATATAAAGGAGCTATTATATTTTTTAGATATTGGTACGAGGGGAGGTAGTTTAGCAAGTAGCAGAGGTTACCTGGAAATTGCAGGAAACGGACAGAGTGCGTATCCAGAGAATCAGAAACAAACAAATGATACGTCACTCTCCTATGGTAAATACACCGATCAATCGTTACTTCCTTTTTGCTCGAATGTGAGTACATATAAACATTTCTCTATATATACATGTAATTTTCATTCACATAATTTCTTATAATAAAATTATTAAATTATTAATAAAATACATTTTATATTCGAGAAATATAAAATATAAAGAAATATATATTATTATTTTATATTTATTTTCTTTTTAATATTTTTTTATGAAATTTATTATATAAAAAATAAATATTTAACAATAATATTCGGTGTACATATAAGATATCTTAGAAAAAAATTAAATAACTTCACTAACATTTTATAAAATTATCTGAACTGAAATTAATAATTCGAAATCGGAGAATATTACAAATCTTTATATCTATTTTCTATAGTATTTAACTTGCGTAAAATAAAGAATTATTTTCTTGAAAATTCAAAAATTAAAAGTATAACATATATGATGATTTTGTTCTTAAAAGACATATTAGTTAAATTATTTTATTTTATACTAAACGTCTATATTTTATACATAATATATTATGATTTAAAAAGCAGACATTATTTTTAAAAATATTATTAAAAAAGAATAAAAATTAATTTATTAAAAAATAAAAATTACGGTAAATTTTATATTGAAAAATTCATATACTTTCATTATAGGATTCAGAAGTTACACCCTGTACGGGACTAAATATTCATAGAATTCGAGAACAGCATCGTTGGAGTGATTCAGAATGCTGTCATCTCGCTTATGAATTACACAGTCTACATAATAGACCCACATAAAACTTCTTTCATAATTTAATTTAAATGATTATCAAAAGTAAAAAAGTAAATGATTATAAAATGAATTTATCAAAAGAATTTTGTTTGCGAATAATTAACGAAGTTAACACAATTCTTTCGATAAAAAAAAGTGTGTGCAATTAAATTAATAAATTATTGTAAAATGAATGTAATATGAAGACTGTAAATTCATCAATGTTATACTAAAATTGTTTCAATTATTATTCTACTAAAATGTCTCGAATTAAAAAAATATCTTGTTTTTCGTTTTTTATATTATTATAAATTTTCATGAATTTACAAAAATAGGAAAACGTTGATTTTTAATATTTTTTCTTTTTTTATAATTTATAAAGAAATATTCGTTTTACCAAGAAATTATTTAAATATTATTTTCACTTATTACTGGCAAAATTTTTTCGCATACAATAGTATATAACATTAATTAATTATAAATGTATTATATATTTGTTATAAAAATGTTTTTTTTTATATATATAAATATAAAAATACGAAAAAATTAAGTAAATCTAATGCTAAAATCAATAATATTAATATTAAAAAAATCCATTTATTATTAATAAAAATTGATATTTATATTTATTGATATTTATACAGTTTGACATATTTTAATATTTTCATATTCATATAAAAAAGTTTTTATGTTTTATGATATTAATGCTAAAAAATTTTTGCAATTTTTTGATCAAATTTTATTACTATTATAATTTTGTTTGAATTTTTAACTTTGCATCATACATATCTTTGTTTAATAGTGATATCAATTTAGCAAGAAAATAATACAAGCATTCCGTATTTCATAAATAAGACTAGTATTGATATTTTCTTGACTTCTATTGATTTTCATATAGATGTAAAAGTTCACTTTAGTATAGGTTTTATATATTCAGAATAATTGTTTCATAATTGTTTCATATCGTGTATGTTTTAGGCTATGTTTTAGGCTATGTTTTAGGCTATGTTTTAGGCTATGTTTTAGGATATGTTGTCTAATTTTTCCATTTGTGATTCCAGTTGTATTTATTAATTCGAATAGGAATTTTATTGTGTGGTAAGATAGCGGCGCCGTTTCCATTATTTTTTTTCAAATTTCTTCGCTAGAGATCTGTGTAGGTAAAGGGTTATATTTTTCTTCAGTTGCTGTGTATTAGGTTTTCTGAGGGTCATTCTTGTATTATTTTCACTTCAAATTCGTCGCTAATAACAAATTTGTAACAAAATAATATAACATTCAAGAAATAGATTAACCAAAAATTAAAATGGAAAATTTAAAAAATAAAACAAAAATAATAAATTTTGTGAAAATGTGAAATATTAAAAGTTATATAAAAGTATTTCTTTTAATATATATATGTGTATATATTAAAAAAAAACAATTTTTCATTTCATTTATTTTAAATGTGCATAGAACATAAAAAATTTTTTCATTGCATAAACATTTTATATAATTTTTTGTATTTAAATATTAAGTATTTTTGAAAGTTTTGCTTATTTTCAATTATAATTTATATAAAAAAAAAATATTATTATACAATCCTTTATTTTTTAATACCGCAAAATATTTCCATTGTATTGAGAATTTAGGATATTTTCTTTTATTGCTTTATTTTCTTTTATTTTCTTTTATTTTCTTTTATTTTTTTTAATTATATATTTTTTACATCAATTTAAAATACCTCTGTCAGATTTTAATCCAGAAATTGAAATTATGAAATTATGAATTATTTGAGACTAGCGTTTTGAATCATTAAATGAATTCATTCTCCGAGTATGTGATTTGTTGTAAAAGATATTAAAATGTTCTATTTAATCATAATCTGGTACTATCACTCTGTGTTCTATTTAACGGAACTAATGCCTTTCATTGTCATCGCGAATACAGATTTTCTATCTCTATAGTTTTGACACATTTCTTAAATTTCTTAAATTTTTAAATTCTTCGACAATATGATATGCAAAATCCTAGGTATATAAGATGTCATATTGACGAATAATTAAAAAAACAATGTATTAAAAATACATTGAAAAATGGATAGATCCGTATTCATGTAAAGTCGATGTCAATCAATGGGATTCCCGGGGGTTTCGTTTATAGAATATAAAATGTGGTATCTGATTTGAATATAGTATCTTTCATAACAAATTACATACATGAGAACTAGATTTCAGAGCAATGATCCAAAACATTTTATTTTCAAACAATCAAAATATTAATTTCATAAAGTCGTCTAATTAATCTCCAAATCTAAATCTGATAGAGATATGAAAATATATAAAAGATGATTCAAAAAACAATAGAAGATGTGTGATAGTGATCGAAGTTTCACCCATTTTTAACAAAATATTGTAATGAATCAAGGCAAATATAAAAAAAATATAAATAGTAAAAAATATAAAGTATAATGTTAAAAAATAAAGAACAATACTGAAAATATTAAAAATATAATAAAATTATTTATTTAAAATATAAATAACAATTGAAAATAAGTAATAAATAAATCTTTTTATTTATTTGCATTAAATCTATATAATAAAAAAATTTTAGATATTTAGAATAAATAATTTATTTTTTGTTGATAAATATTATAGTAAAATATTGTTTATATCAATATTTTTTTTAGGATATCAATTCGAATATAAAATTTAATTTTATTTTTTTCACATTTATAAAAAAAAACAATTTCTTACTCGACTTTTATTTGTTCTTAATAAATATATTATTGTTACTCTAATTGAAAATATTTTGCCAGAAGCATATAATAGTGAAGTTTCTATTTTTATTATTTTGATATAAAGATTTTTCGAATTATTGTCATTCAATTGATGCAATGTGATTCATGAATAGTTAAGTAGCAGCGATGCGTTAAATTATTTTAATAAAATTATAAATCAACTAATCCATCTTGTTTGTTGCAAATCTTGTTTTTACTGTAAATTATTTAATAATAATATATGGACTTCTAGACATTTTAGCAGTCATTTTTTAATGTACTAATATTTTCAGATTTTTGAAATTGCAATCTATAAATTTGTGTACAATTATATAAATAAGAAGCTTCAAAATATTTATATTTTATACAATTTTACACATTTTTATACTTTTCGTCTCGAGATTATTAACACTGCACCAAAATTCGTTAAACCTAACTGGTTTTCAAAGCATGTATTTATAATAATAATTTAAGGTGAATATGTATATATGTATATTTTATTATATATTTATTGTATAAATTAATTTTCATTTTGTAAATATATCTATTCACTTTCAATTATTCTTTTTTTCTGCGGCTTAAGAATTCGGATGGTCTAGGCAATGATTATATTGAACATGAATTAAGCAAACACAAATAAATATAATCAAATTTACATAATCATATGAATACATATTTATTAGCTAATTCTAAAATTACATGCTTGAATTCATGTCCAGTGTAACTGTTGCTGAATATAATAAATAAATAATTTGTTTGACCATAATTTTTAAGAATTCCTCAGAGTCGCACGTCGCTTTTATGAGTCGGATTAAATCGAATCATGTCGATATCCACCTCTATTCAGTTCGGATTAACGTAGGTGCAATTGTTTCATAGAAATAATTGCTCATGTCACATACATCACGTTTATGTTGTAAATTATAAAATAAAATAAATATGTGTATATGTGTATTTAATGTTTATTATAATATAACATATTAAATTAATCGATCGAAAATTTTCCATGTGCATTATTATGTATTTTACACATAATCTTATCAATTTATTTATTATCATGCTCTTTTTTAACATGTTAATACTAAAATGTATCTATATGTACGGAATTTTTAATAATAAATATATTAATCACATGGAATTATTTTCTAGAACAATTATTTTTTTTTATAATAAAAACATTGCAAAAAAATTCGTGATGAACAATATCATTAAAATATTCTAATTATAATTAATCCTGTATGATGAATCATTTTTCAATATATTTTTAATAAAATGAGACAAATATAGATTTGTTTTATTTTTTGTTATTTCATATATTTTAGATATGAATGCAGTAATGTATACATGAAAAATATGTGTCTACAAAATTATTACGTACAAAATGTTTGTAATTTAAATGATAGAATTATTTTAGAAAATTCTTTTATTCTCTTCTTAATTTGATATTTATAAGAAAAGCTTTTGATAAAATATTAATAAAATTCTCCATGAATTTTATATATTAATATTAATTGACTTACATATATATTTACAAATAATATATATAGATGTGTCTCTATAATCAAATTTTATAATTTTTTAATGTGTAAATTTAAATACCATAATATTTTCAAAGTTTAAATTACATCGTATAATTCGTAGACGATGTTGCGAAAAAATATTAACGTTTTAGAGAAGATGATGTTGCGAAAGAATAATTGCCGCTTTTTAGACTGTAATAATGTATAAATATTTAAAAATGTTTTTTAAGAATATACAATGTTCTCTAAATATACTCTTAAATTTATTTTAAAAGCAGCATTTTTTCTTTTTGCATCATCTTACGTTGTTACCGATTTTTACAATGTTTAAACGAAAATAAAATCTCTTCGATTGCATCATGTATCGATTTTCAAACGACTATAAATCAAATATCAACGATTTTCGATCGAATTTAGACGAGTTATTAAAACTACTTCAATTACAGTACATTCGTATCTTTCTACTTCAGAACTATATATCAGAGACCAGATCAAACTCGTGTATGAATACATATGAATGTATATTCGATGTTAAAAGTTCCCCAATTGAAATTAAAAAAAAAATGAATATTAAACATTTTATTACTAACACATATTATTTAAAATAGATTATTTAATGGATAATTTCATTTATAAAAGTATCGGTTTTATAAATTACTAAATATATATTTTTTTTTATGTTGAATATTCTTAACATACAACTATTTACATCATTTTTTCACTTACTCATTTTTGTAATAAAAACTTGTTTCTTCATTTATATAACATTATTAATATGTATGTTCAGATAATAGCAATCACTTGTTCATTTAGTAGAAAACTTACAGATGCTACTAAAATTCTTTTCATATTTAAAATAATTTCACAGTTTTTTTTTTCATGTAACAATCCAAGATGTAATTCACTAGAAACAAAAAAAATAAAAATTAAAGAACAGTTATTAAAACATTCCATAAAATTTCATAAATTATAAAGAGAATTGAAATTAAAATTGAGAGAATAATTTAAAAAGAACTATGAAATAATTAATTAAAATAATTTAAAAAATATTCAAGGAAGAACTTTAATAAAATCGAGTATATATTTTCATAAATTTTTTAATAATTTTTAATAAATTAAAATATATATTTATTAATTACAAATTGAAAGTAACTGATTATTGATTAAAGATAATTTAATGCGAAACTCAAGAATATTAATTCTTTACAATAAAAGAAAAATTTGTTGTAGGAAAGAAAGAATCGGTAAATATAATTTTTAAGAAAGTCCTTACCATCCAGTAACATTTTCTGCAGCATCACAAGCACCTGTCAACTCATTAAAAGCCCTACCCTCACCACAATTTTGCAATCGTGGTCGGCCGTTTACGCAAATATAATACCGCTGACAATCCAGATTACTTCGGAAAAATTTAATTTCTCGTGTAGAAAGATCTTCTGGACAAACGAAGCCCAAGAATGCTATATGGAAATTATAAAGTAATCGATAATTTCAAAAATTGGATAATATAAATAAATATAAATAATGATAATATAAAAAATATTAGAATCGAATGCGATTCATAATAATGATTAATAGTACAAATTGTAATTCTTTTTTTATTAATTTTAAGTTCTAAGATTATTTTTATTTATATAATTTTATATAATTATATAATTTAAGTTTTCAATTCAAAACAATTTTTTCAGATTTATGGAGAAATATATTGAAATATTTATATTGTGATGATTATTGAAAAAAATTACCTTCAACATCGCAATCAGTGACCTGATCGGGCCAATCACAACGATAAGATTCTGAATTAAAAGCTAATCCTTCAGGACAATCAAAAATGTATCCCTTTCCGTCGGCACAGTTCATAAATTGACCACAATTTTGCTTATCCCCAACTTTGAAGTAACCATATTGATGAGGACAATCGGCAGTTGGTTGTGCAGGTTCTAAAAATTATTTTTTATTATTTATTATACTTAAATATAACTTAAATATAAAAAAAACAATATCTAAATAATATCAATTTTGAGAAAACTAAATAAATAAATTATAAAAAAAGAAAAAATTATAATTATAAATTAATAAAGATATTATAAAAATAAAAAAAATAATTTTAAAATCCATAAAGATTACATAGTATTATTCAAAATATGAAATAATTTATCTTATTTGATGTTTTAAATCAATATCAAATATATAAAATAACAAATCAATATATGTATTTGTGAGAAAAATTATTAAAAATCAATTTTTTTTTAATTTTTAGTTAATTAAATTGAAGAAGATAAAAAATCGCAAATACTAACGTCGATTAGGCCTTCCTTCACAATTTACGTCTATTGGGTATCCGCAAGGATAATTGAATCTTGCTTCAGGACTAAATAGGAGTCCCTCGGGACATAATTTTTCTTCAGGGATACCATCGATGCATTCTATATAGGCGTCACATTGAGACGAAATTGGAAATCTACCATTTCTTTCTGGACAGGATAATGAGGTTTGCTGTTTGCCATAGAAATTCACATTATTTTCTTGATTTCGTTTTCCTACAAGAAGATGTTGAACCGCATCTGAAAAAAAATAATTTTTCTTCATATGAATTTTTAATTTATAGAATGTATTCATTTATATTAAAATTTTTTTATTTTTTAAAAAAATATGAAATAATATTCTTTTGAATGCTAAAAAAAATGTAATGCTTTACAAGTCAAGAAAAAATTACTAAAAATATTGATTTTTCAATATTTAATGAAGTATCTGTTTCGATATTATACCGCCAGAATTTCTCAACCAATGTCTTAAGAAATTATCTAATTTATTCTTATTTTATTTAATCATCTCTTAAAAAAAAAATTATCTATTTTAACATAATTTAGTCTTGCATCATTTAGAAATTGATTTTAGAAAGTTATACAACTCTTTTTCAATTATAGAAGTATTTACAATCACAATTTATTAAAAATCTAATTTTAGTTTTATCCTTTTTAGATTTATAAAATTGAATACTTTTCTCAATTTTTTTATAATAAATATTGCACATAAAAAATATTTTCTTAATTATTACTTCTAATTTTTTTATAATTTTCTCTATTTTATATTCTTTATTTTATATTAAATTTTTTTTTCTTACATGTAAATTAATTTTTTTTTTTTTTTTTTTGTAAATTTAAGAAGCCAAGAAAAAGATATTAATTATTAATAGACTTCATGATAACAGAACTATTTTTGCAAATTTTTGAATTGGGAAACTTCGATTCATTGCATAATGCAGTACCTTGAAGACGAAACCGGTCTCCGAATCGTGCGTGCTCGTGCATTCGCGTCTACTATCGAAAAGCCTCGAATGGAGAAAGTTTAACGATGCGATTTGACCTCCGCACTTCTCTTTCTCTATCTCTATCTTATATGTAAGTTATATATTCATTTCTTTTACGAACTCTCTAAATTATCTTTAACTAAACTCGAAGCAGATTTAAATATGCACATAAAAATTTCTTTTTCTTTTAGCGGAAATAGAATCCTTTCGCAGCATCGGATTCAATGATTATGTAATTTATTTATAATATAATATAAATAATTCTCTATTTATTTAATAAAAAATAGAAAAATAAGTTTTGCTTCATTTTTAGATTAGAGCTAGATCAACATTTATATATTTTATATATTTATATATTAATTCAATTAGATTAAATTCTAATTAGAAATATAAAGTATAGAATATATAAAAATAAATTATTAAATATTTTTATTAAAATTATATATTCATCATATTTTTATTTGCAAATATTGAATCCTGATATTAGAATAAAAATAGAAACTGATTGTATTAAAGAACAATTTAATGAAATTTTACATTGCGAATAATATCAATTTTTTAAAATTTAAAAGAAATTATTTTTTTTTAAATAAAAAATAAGCATAAATAATTATAAAAAAATTCTACACTTTCTCTTTCTAAAATTCTAATTATATCAAGTAATGATAGTGATGTTAATCAAATTTAATAATAATAAAATCATTATGCTAGAAAAAAGGAATGCTAGAAACGCAATCTGGTAATAATCTTAATAAGAATCTGTCATTTTGATATAATAAGAAAAAAATTAATGCGAAAGAATAAACAACGCAAAATAACACAATGATGCAACAATGAAAAGTTAAATGGTACTGCTTCAACAACAGTGATGAATTTTAAACGTGACTATTTTTCGGATAATTTTAAACTTTAACAAAATAACTTGTCACAACTTATGTGAGCATACTAGAAATTCTATTTATGTTTCTATGAAACCAATAATGAATCTACGGAATATAAATTCTAATATATATTGAAGTCATTAAAATTTGTAAAACCTTGAAAAGAATGATGAAATGTGTGTATATATGATCAAATATTGAAGATACTAAAATTACTCTAATTTTATAAAATATTGTTGGAAAGCTATATTAAAAAAAATTATAATGAAAAGAAAACTGTAGAATTTAAATTTTTTATAGTTTTATATGTTATTCTATATATTTCTATATCAAAATAATTATTTCTATTTATAATATATATATATGATTTTAAATATTATTATCCATTATAATTAGAATTAGAATTATAATTTATTATAATTCTATCTCTTATAATTCATTGATTACCAAAATAATTTTGTACATATATATTATATATTATACATGCATAAAATATTATGCATTTTTTAAATATACTTACATTAACAAGAAAAAAAGATTACATATTAATAATGATATAACATTATAAATCTTTGTTATATATTCTCGAAATTAAAACATTAAAAACTATGTATAATTATAATTATAAGTTCTTGTTTCTCGAAATATCTAATAAAAAATTAGATTTCATTTTTTAATACATGTTTCGAAATAAAATAAAAACATTTAATTTTATTAACTTAATAAAAGAAATTTATATTAATGTATAAAGACTATTGAACCATTTAGTCAAATTATAATTATAATATATATAACTTATAATTTATAATTATATAACTTATATTTATAATATTATAAGAACTTATAATTATAATAATTGTAAGAATACACAAATCTTGAAAAAGAATAATCAAACACATAAAAATTTCACAGTTGTTATTTGCAAAAAGTTTATATTTTCACTTGTACTCACTCGATGACTTGTATTCGCAGCTGACAAAATTCAGAATGCCGCAGGCAATCAACATACATATATGAACGATCGTCGTTGTCGGGGTCATCTCGAGCTCTTGCTATCCCGCTCCCGAAATCAAAACTACCTGCCTCTTCTTCTTCGCAAGCTTTTATCATCTTCGCTCAACCACCACGCGTATTCATTCTGAGCATCTCAATTCCAGTTATATTCTCTTCAGATTCTTTTCTCTTTCCTATTTTGTTGGTTAAAATCTTTGGGAAAATCATATTGTGCAAAATTATATTTAAAAAAAATTAGATATTTTATATATTTAAATAATTAATTTTTATGTATTGTATTGTATATTTTGAAATTGTTTTAATTGCCAATTATTTGTATTAGAGTTCATGTAAATTAAAATTCATTTTTCATTCATGTAATGAATAATAAATAATAAATAAATTAATAATTAATAATACAAATAATTTCTTAACAATATAAATAATTGATTATTAATTAATTAGCATCCATATTATTATAACAAAACATGAATATATATTCTTTAGTATGAATGTTCTATATTTTATTGAATAGTTGATTTTTTTAATCAGATTCATATTTTACGAATTATTATAATTAGAGATATAGAAATGCATATATGAATATACAAATAAGTAAATGTAAATATTACATAATCCAACTGTTCTATATTGTTTTATTATTACAGAAATTTATATAACATTATATATATAATGTTTTTAATATTATAGATAATTTGCAATAACTCACATGTTATTGTAGAATTATTATTGTATTATTAATTATGAATGAATTTTGCTGAATCTTTCGAATGAGATTATATTTTTATTTCTGATTAAATTTTGTTTAAAAGTAAATAAATATTTTTTAATATATAATTCTTTATATAATTATAATTTATCATTATATATATTATTTTCATTAATATAATTATGAGCAAGTTGGCGGCGTTAATGTTATATCACATTATTATTAAAGATAATTATATTAAATGATATTTAAAATAGAATATGTCAAACTTTATAGATCATTCTTCTTCTAATATCTTTAAGAAAAAGGCTTGTAGGTGAGGAATATACAGAAAGAAACGAATAAAATGTCAAGGCTGTTCGATGGACGCCCGAGGCTTTTCTAACTGCGGAACTGGGAACATCGACATTACGCAAGTTCTTAGTCTCTATTCCAATTATTTTATATATGTTACTTATGCTTTCTGCTTCCACAAAGAATTTTATGATGGTCAATTATTTCTTCTATTTCAGGCAAGTTTAATAACAATAAGTGAAATTCATGATTAGAAATATAATTCTGTTATCTTTTTCAAGAAAACTAATTGTATTCTAATTACAATCATTTGGATCATTGAAACAAAATAAACATAATAGCAATGACATTAAGTATATGTAAGTTAAAAGCAATTATAAAAAAACAGAGATGGAATAAACATTGAAGAGAAAATAGAAGAAAAAAGATAACGTAAGAAGTAATTATTATTGCCATCTTTTTGATGTTAAAAATATATTTTATAAATCTTTTAATTTACCGGTAAACTAGAATAAGAATTGACTACTAGCTTCATCTCTTAAGTGCCAAAGATATATCTTCAATGAGAAGATAAGGTAGAGAGAATCATCAGCACCATCTCTCGAATATCGAAGATATTTTTTTCGAAGGCAAGGTAAAATTGAAAAAGAATTGGTTATCAATGTCATTTTTTAATTACCAAAAATATTTTTTCAAAAGAACAAGTAAAGCAAAAATTGATTATTGATATCATTTTTTGAAAATCAAAAATATCTCTATAAATTATTTTCTTTAGAAGCTCGAGAAGAAAGGTTATCTTCAATTCTTAGTTTGCTTTTAAAAAAAAGTTTTAGTTACTCAGAAGATGGCGTTGGCAATCAATTCTCTATCTTTATCCTTTCTTTATGTATTTAATTTGCGGCACTCTAAAGATGACGCTGATTTTATTATTTTTATCCTATATTTATCTTTCTCCTGTTAATAACTATTCTTATCTATGTTTATTTTATGAATTTATGCTTTCGATAACGTTTTCGATATTTGATGTGATTATTGTTTTCTTTATTTAATTTATATATAATTTTATATTTTTATATGTTGTATATGCTATTTATAATAAAATATTTCTGAAATTCTATACATTGTATAGAAATATCAAATATATTTTTTATACATTTAATTTTTTTTCTTTTTTTGTTATTTCTGAAAATATGACCTAACATATATGTAATCAAATACATATTAAAATATAACAGATAATAAGCAAAATTTTTCCAAAAATTTTCTAGACCGTCATTTTTTTTAATTTTCTTTTTTAATTTTCTTGACTAATTTCTTAAATTCTAAGTAATTCATCGTTTGTATATTTTTATAATTATCTGATACTGAACAATTTTTTTTTAATTCTAGAAATACTCATCATTTGGATATTTATTTTTTATAGCTATCACAGGATACATGAAGATACACATCGAAAATAAATTTTCTTTCATTATTTGCAACGTAAATAATATTTATTTAATATTCAGCCTCTTATTAATTTTTTCATAAATTAAATCTTAATAAAAATTTAATCTTCCAGCGAGGCAATTATCCACCCTGTTTAAGTGTCTCACAAGTGACAGGAAGATCTGATCCCGATATCATGGAGAGGTGTATCACAAAGAAGAAACGTTACCTGTAACTGTTTCTACATCCGACGTGGCGTGTGAAACGAACGAGCCAAAAGGACCGATGCAACAAGAGGCTAGGAGTGCCTTTCTAATGTCACGGAAGGAGTTACCTTTAAGTATCGTCGATGTCGAATCACAGGATTCGTTAGATTGGGAGAGAGGTTCCGATAATGGGAGAATGGTCGAAGATATCTATTGTTCTATTACATCTTATACCCTTCTTATCCATCTTTTCCAACAGCCGGTATATTGTAAATATTTCTTCAAATATTATGATCATATGGCATATTATCAGCGATAATCATTAGCTTTTATTAGGAGACTTGAATAAAAATGATATACTATAAATGATTATTGATAAAACTGAAATTACACGTATCTTATTATAACAAAAGATAAATAGAAAGTAACAATCATTGCTTGATTGACTTTTCTGTAGCGATAGAAATAAATTTGATTCTATGAAAATCGCATGATATTTGTCACTTTACACGAATGCGCATTTGTAATGCTGTGGTTAATAACTTCTCTAAAGACGAGCCTCGTATGTGACCAATGTGAAAGTAATTCTAAAATTATTGTAGCTCGTAAAGAAGACAGTGATTACCCTAGCACCCCTGCTGATTATTCTCTTAAATTATTGGTAACATGATTATGCGAATAATCTGTGCAATCCTACTTTCATTTAAGAAAATTTATAACACCTCCCAAAAGGAGGAAAAAAAATTTATGAAAGTAGAATTTATTATAAGTTATCTTTTAATAAGTCAATTTGAAAATTTGTGAAAGAATTATAAAAATATTAATAATAAATTTAAAGATTATTTTAATTATTATACAAATTCGTATTTATATAATTGGAATAGTATTGGTTTATTTAATCATGGAATATTTGATTGTTACAGACTTGATGTCTATATCATTCTCTGTTAGAAAGAAGAATTATATGGATAAGACATGCAAAAGCTCGTCAATATGCGTTCACTTGAGGCATCAGAAAGAAACTGAACGCCTTTCGTGAAAGTTCCGAGTCCTTGACCTAATATTCTGGATAAAAAGATATTAATAAAATATATCCCTTAAAATTTAAGGGTGATTATAGCACCTTTTCTTTTTTTTTTAATGAATTTATATCTTCTACAGGGATGAAATTATAGAAATTTTACTTTGAATAATATGAATATAAATTTTGGAATTGTTCAAGTAATTGAATAATGAATGTTGGATATTCTAGTAATATTAATTAGAATACAATACGTTAATTAAATGTACCAAACAATATACGACATTTCTCTCGTTTTTTTAAAATGTAGTGAGAATGCAACTATTCTGACTTAATTTCACATAATTAATAATTAGACGGTTCGTTATATTGTATAATTAATTTTGATATATCATTCGATATTTTTATTTTATAATTTTTAAATCTTTATTATGTTTTATCTGTCAAATTTTAATATTTCTAATTTAATAATTTCCAAAAATTTTCATAAAGATATTTAAACTGGATTAATAAATAAATATTGTATTTATTTGTATTTATTTATAAGCATTAATTTGTATATTCTCATTTTAACAACATTATTTATATATCCATAATATATTTATTTAAATATGCATTTAGCTATCATGCAAAGAGTTAATATTTTTAGATTGTCAATTTTTTCTTTAAAATTCAAATTTTCTTAAAAATTCATAAGTTGCAAATTATTTCTCAGTATTTTAATTATGTTTTTATATTTTTATTTTTTACTAGTAATGGTATTTTTTTTCACTATCTCTAATTTTATAATTTTCTTACAGATTCTCTTCAAATAATTTTATGCAACCAATCCAAGCGCATATCTAACTAAGCAAAGGGGTGAATCCAATCCTGTTCTCTAACCTTCCTTCGCGATGACCTTAGCCAACCGCTCATCATTCCACCAAGCACGTATTGCTCGGCTGATTTGCATAAGACCGGAGTAAGTATCGAGCGAACGCGAGGTCGAATCGTACGAAAGCAACATGTGCTTCGACAGATCGAGCTCTTGCTTTACGGCCATGATCCGGCTAATACATGTACACACCTCCCTCTATATTGCACTGTAAATTTTATTCGCATCCTACAAAGATCAAATTAGCCTCTCAGGAATATATTCTGCCTCTTAGCAACTTCTTTCTTCGTTTATGCTTCATGGCTTTTATCTATCTCAGGGAAAACTGAATTGTTCTTCCAGCATCCTTTTTTTTCAATTCTTTTATTCTTTCATTTTTTTTTTTTTTTTGAATATTTTCAAATTTTCTTAGTTGATTTAATTATATTAATTTTTATCATTTTATAATGTTTAAAATTGGGACTAATTTTCATATGAAATATAAAATGATGTAAAAAATATATTTAAATTATTAATAATGATTTTATTATATTAGTAATAATTTTATTATAAAAGAATATAGTAGTATCTTTTTTATTTGAAAACATTTAAAAAATAATGAATTAATTTTACAGCAAAATTAATTTTTTCTGCAAATAACCTAGTTTTTTATATTTTATATTAATTTTAAAATCTTATTTTTAATAAGTTTAATTAAGGAAATAATAAATTTTTTATTCACTAGCTATACTAAGAAATAATAGTTCTATTTTCTTCTTTATTATTTTCTAATTATAAAAAATATATATCTTGATATTATAAAAAAAAATTATTTTTGGCAAATTGTTTTTTATTTATATAAAATTAATATTAATATTAGAATTGGCACAAAAAGTCATCAATCTTATACCATAAGTAGAAGAGAAAGCAAATGAAGGGGTTGAAAGGCAAAAACGCTTAGCGAGTCACGGTTCATAGCTATCGAAATTCGATTTCGTAATGATTCTGTTCAGTATTGTATTCTTTGACACGAGATCAGCTGATTGCTATTTTAACGCGCAAGAAGCAATCAGATTTCTGCGAGACCTTTTCAAGTCTCGCGGGCTATGAGCAGGCCACACACACGCCATTCTGTAGTTATCTTGGCAAATTTGTTTACGAAAAGACGATTTAAATCATACATGAAAATCACTCAATTGATGTTATTCTTCTTTCAAGAAAATTCTTTCTGAAAAGAAAAAATTAAAATTAGGATTGAAAGATATATAATACAGTATTTTTTTAAAAATTCTTCACATAACATAACATTCATAAAATTTCAAAAACTAAACAACAAATGGTATAACAATCAAGTTTCTTTCTTAATAGTTTTAATGAAAAAATAAATTCAACATTCACATGATTTTTATGAGTCAAGAAAGAAAAATTAAATATATTTTCTTATTTATATCTTTTCAAATCTTTTCATATTTCATAAACTTAATAACTTGTTACAAATTCAATTCTACTATTGTTATAAAATTAAATTAAATTAGTTTAGAAATTAATCATAGAACATAAATCATTTTAAGAGTGGTTAACATTAATAAAAATAGCGATTAGGATAGAAATACATATCCCGCGAGTATATTCTCTTTGAAAAAAAGTGTCAAGTTCGTGCGAAATTAGATAGTTTATTAGATACCTCTCGATAAGGGAATACAATACTCACTAACAGAATACTAGAAGCGGACTTCATATAATAGCAGGATGTTTATGCTTCGCGCGAGTCGTAAATTTAAGGGACATATGTACGATAAAGTTGCCAACCAAGTACTTTAACTGAAAATCATTAAAACAGTGTTTCTCAAATTTCTGTCTTCATCATCTAATATCCACATCAGTATCATAAAACTTTTTCATATGTATTTATGATTGTTAGTACTTGTAATTGTTGTTTTAAATCTTCAATAAAATTTGAATACTTTTGAAAATTTCTTTTAATCTTGAAACTTCAAAATGTTTTGTATAAAGACTGTTATAAAAAAATTGATTAATAAAATTTAAAAAAAAACTTGATTTAATATATTCAGATTCACGAATAAATTATATTTTAATAATAATAAATATTTGATAAGTAAAATATTGTTCTAATAATGCAAGAGATACAATACAATATTCAAAATGTTGAGGTAAGTTGAGAAACACTGCATTAGAATAATACGCAATAGTAAGAACGAGGATTATCTGTGGATATTAGATTTTCTCAAACGAGACCTCATTAGACTTCTCGTTCTAATGTTTGAGCTCATTAAACTTGATTTTCAATATGATTACCGTTATAAATCATTCTTATTTTCATGCATAGATGGCGCAGGAAATAAATGCGAAACCTGTCTTCCGGTTGAAGTACATATATTCAAATCGTTTTCATTATAAAAGTTCCAATCAATTAATTAAGTCAAGATAAAGCGAATTTTTTCATTAATGAAACATAATATGTACGCTTTCATATATTTTTTATTTGAATAGTACAATCTTTTAAATTGATTTTTATATAATTTCAGGAACAAGACAGTGATTATATTTCTTTATGGTATTTGAAGAAATCTTTGACATCCTTTACTTACGATATTAGCACTCATTATCATCCACTTTTTTGTCATCTGCGATTATATGGTTCAATAGTGAAACACAAGGATGTTGCAATAGCGACGAATAATAAATTACTAGTTCTCGTAATTTCATTTCATAGTACCAACTTGTTGGACATCTTCTGTTAAAATTCTCGAAGATGCGTTATAATACACTGGGATAATTTATTAGCTGAAAAATCGAGAACAAAAATTCTCTTCCTTTCTTACGATAAAAGGTATTTTAATATGATAATTTTAAAATATTTAACTGCTTATTTTGCTGCTATACAATATTTCCAGTCTTCTTACTTTGTGTAATAGAACATTTGCAAATATATTTATTGTTAGTCAGATTACAAATTCTTCAATAGATGTCAGAAAAGATAAAAATTTAATTACAATTATTTAACATTTTCCACTTAAATCACTAACTTACGCCATTACAATTTGTACTACTAGTGCAACGTGACTATATCATATATTAATACTACTGAGAAGCTAATCTCACAAAATAAGATTAATCCTATTTGATATGATATTACTATTATTAAACGAAAAAGATATTTTTCACCTCTTAATTATTATTATATCAAAGTATTATTATTTCATGCATTCTATAGTTTATTACATATATATTTTTTAATCACTAATAATGATAAGAGTTAAATTAAATCAAATATTATTTTTCCATGTTATACAATTGATTATTATTGATTGTTATACAATTGTATATTTTTGAATTAATATTGCCAAGAAGTAACTTTTTTCTTCGCCTTAATATTGTGTTGCTTCATTTACATTACCATACAATCCAATAACAATGACTCCTTTTGATTTACGCTGGAAATCCTCTTGCAAAAGAGTGTTTGATTATTTATGTGAACTGTGATTCTTAATTAACATTGTTATAGATATGGAAGACATGTGGAAGATTGTACCAACTACCGACGTTTAATAACGACCTATCCCATAAATTCAAACCTTGTCATTCGTTCGATTAATTCCGTTGATCTGATCGAATCTGATCAGGTAATAATATCGAACATGATGTACGCCTTCGGATTCCGTGACTTTTAACGCTATTCTTCATTTGCCAAAGAAATATCCTCCTTGAAACAACATAAAAATAAGGCCCACGCGAAGCAAAAGGAAATTATGATTGATTTATAGTTGCAATTATAATTTAAAGGCGTTCGAGATCCAGCATAAAAACACATAATTATAGAGGCGGTGATGGGTCATTTGTAACATGATTATGACCTGACTGATATTTGTTTCAGTTTATGTAATATTCTTACATGAAATAACATACTGGCATCATTTGTTGGTAGTATTTGGCATTCTGATATTTTTTTAGATGAGTTGAGTTCTTTTTATCATTGAATTGTAAAACTGAAATTTATTGAAAGACTTTTTGGGAATAGAATTAATTTTAGGATTTTTTACATAACGTGAATTGACTGCTTGCAAGATTATTTAATATTGATGAAATTAATGAAGTTAATGAGTAAAACAAATTATCTGAAAATTTGGTATGATTAAAAATTTTAATAGATATTACTTTTAATTTTTTTAAACTTGTTACTGTAAAGTAGTTTGATTAAAATTTTTTCTATAATTAGAATTCAATTACTCATAATAGACTGTAGATATTTATGTAAAGTAAAATTTTGTTGAATATGATTAAAAAAAGTGCAGCTTAAATAAAAATTTGCTTTATTCTTCAAATATCATAATGTACATTATACTGTGAATATTTTATATTGCTTTGTATATGCATTCTGTTGATTTCTCCGTGCATTTAAATTTTGTATAAATGCATCAACAATCAATTCATAATCCATTTCAATTTCTATACCTCAAGTACAATCTTACAAAGTAATTTAAAGATCCCAGTTTTTAAGTTCTTTTTGAAACATAGTTTGCAATAGATCAACCAACTTACTGATATAATTGGTGGTATGATTCCTTGATATATTAATAGCAGATATCTCATTCGAAATTCACCGGATGTCTTGTCGGTGTTCTTTGTTTCAGCCCTTTTTCATCCGTTTACAAAGCGATGGGAACAATTTGATATTTTTCATTCGCCTTTCATACATAGTATACCCGTTACGGTATACCGGTTATAATCTCATTGTTGGCCTGTAAATTATGCCATTTCGTTTTCAGCCTTTTTGCTCTCGCTCTAACAGCGATTCAATGATAGATCCTGTTAACGATATGTCTGGTACAGAGATGATTACGAAAACCTTACTCCTACTGAAAGAAAAGAAATCGATAATTCTTCGGCTAAATCATGGCTATGTCATGAATTTTATAATTCTCTAGTAATTTCTACAAATATTGGTAAATTTCGGACAAATCAAATTTATTGATGATCAATAGTATTATTTATTCTATTTATTAGTATTATTTATTCTATTAATTAATTCTGATTATATTAAACTAATATTGATTATTATTAAGTAATTCTACTATATTGATTGTAATATTGATTTATTGTTACTAAATATATAATTATATTGATATAGGTTTAATATTAATATTAATTAGTATTATAATTTTGTGTCATGATTCTATAATTTTTTTATAATTTTTATTGATAGCTTAAAGCGATTCTAATTTATGAAACAATATATAAAATTCATATATTTTTTTTATTTATTATTACATTATTAAAAATTTATCGATGATATATCAAAAAGAATAAATACTGGTTTTCTTCTTTTCTATAATACTTTTAAAGAAATACAGTTTTTTTACAATGATTCTAATTCATTCGGATTGGCATTCTGCAACTTCAAACAAGTGTTCTCCAGTTGATATATCCAAGTTGGTAATCCCTCATTGTTGTGCAAGCATAAATGATCCTCTTCTCTTATAACAGATGTTAGAAGATTCCATAATGTAGAAGTATTTCATAATAACTTTCTCCTTTTTATGATTATTGAAATTGGGTCAAGGGTTCTTCCATCAACCCCTATAATTTAAACATCAACTTACTTAAGGATAAATATTATATTTATTATTATATATAAAAAATGAATGATTATGCAATATCCTAATAGCTAGCGAAAAGTTATTTTAAATTATTATGGCAATATTGATTTAACGCTTCAATGATTTCGTCTAACGCAATTTTTAAGATGTAAGTGTAAATGCTAAAAGATTGTTTTGTGTATAAAAGATCTCAATCTTCCAATTACGCAATACGATTGCAGTAATCCACGAAACGAGTTTAATGACACAGAACTCATTCTATTTAAAAGTTATGTAATTATAAATAGAGATGGTACAGAGAAGCATTATTAAACCGACTTTCCATGGTTTTGTGCCATGCTGCTGCTCTTAATGACGTTAAGACATTTAACTTATTTCACTTAAAATGAACCTGCCCTTTGATCTTCTTGAAAACATAAATCATTTTATAGTGTTTGATGTCGTCTAGCTTTTGCCCTGTAATGCAACGTTTTACAGTGATTAATTGTTGAAATAATCTGTTTAATATAAGCTTGTAATTTTATTTATTACTGTTATATTCTATTTTATAAGTATAAATATATTTTTTATTTTATTTTGCTATTTTATATATATATATTTATTTATTGGTAAAAAATTATTCCTTTTATTGTTTTTCATAATGTTAACACATTCTAAATAATAATATTAATAAAAATTTAATGTTTACAATATAATGTGCAAATTTAAAGTTTACAGTTAAATGTCAAATTGTTGTTTCTTATTGAAACCTGTATAAAACTTATTATAATTCCAGATGCTGAAGATGAAACCACATTCTTCGTGCCACTTAATAGCAATGAAAGAACGTCTAATCGTTCTATTCGGTAGACGTCTTTGACTGTCTCGACTACTATTTTGCGATGTTTGGAATTGTATGGTAATCGCACGTTCAAAATAGCGCTACTCATCGCCATGTTCACTCTTTTTATCGATGAAATCAATTTCAATTGATGAACAATCATAGCACATTATTGCCATTTCATTCTGTTCGCGTTATCGCAAAGACACAAGGTATAATGTTTCTAATATCCATGTTTTACTAATTACTGTGGTAGCTAATTATTTTATTCTTGCAGCATGAAATATTCATGACTAGAGTCTTGGAGAAGTCGAGTTCAAGATTATTTTCATTTTTTTAAGTATTTGTAAATAACATTTAAAGGTTAATTATAATATAATGTTGTAGCTTTAAGTGTTATTGTTGGATCATAACAATATAATTTCTAATTAAAACTATAAAATATATTAGAATGACGAATATTTTTAGTATTTTAAAGCTATATAAATATTTTAAAGCTGTATAAATCAAAAAACAAAGTTTCCATAAAAGTATAGTACCATCACAATGTTACAAAATAAAATTTAATGATGTGAGTTATTTGAAAGATTATTGCAAAACTGAAAATATTCCCTTACAACACAATATTAATTCTTAAAAGATCAAATTTCTAAAATTTCTTTTTTTTTTTTTTTAAATTCAATTTCAGAATTTCTTCTCTGATGGATGCTAAAGGGTTAATAGTTGATGATTGTCCAACGAAGAAAACGTTCTTTCACGCGAGGTCAAAGAAGAAAAGGGGGCAGTAAAGATCAAGGTTCGTTGAATTAGATTCCATCTGATTTCGAAGTGCGTGACATTAACACCTCGCTTCTGGATCGAGCGCAATGCTCTCCTCAATGGATGCCAGCATTCTTCTCTTTTTCTCTTCTTCTCCCCGTCGGTCGTCCACGGCCGTCCTCTGCCCTGTTGTCCTTCCCTCTCCTTCGCAGCACATTGTGTTCGAGACATTCGTGACATTTCATCCTCCCCGATCTTAAAGTCTATGCTCCCAGATCGTTCTTCGCAGGTTACGTGATCCGTAATCCACTCTGCCTTGATACTACCGATCGATCACACTGTTGAGATTCTAGCAAAAATTTGTAAACAGGTTCCACGATATTTTGAAATTAAATAAATTAAGAAAAAATGAAGAAAAAATTTAAAGTGTTATATATGTGATCTTTGCAAAAGTTTGTAATTGGTGTTCCATTTTGAAATTAGAAAGATGGAAGAAAATGAAGAGAACAATTTAAAGTATTATACTCTGATTTTTTTTTCTAATAAGGAACTATTTTTTAATTAGAAATGAATTGGAAATGAATAGAATTAACTTAATTAAGTTTATCTGTTAAATATCTCATTAGTTAAATAGATTTCACAAATAGTTTTCTTTTTAAGTATGGAAGAAATATATATATACTACTTGTGATTCGATTGAGGAGCAAACGGATTTAGATTCAAGAACAATGTAAATGATACCTGTAGTGAAGTAGAAACACACTTCATTGATTGTTTGTGGAGATTGAAGTAATATTTAGTAGCGAGGTTATTGTTTAATATATGATACTTAATGCACGTGTACAATAGTAGCAAATGAATATAAATATATTATTTTACAAAATAAATATTGAAAATCTTATACACGTATAATAAGATTTCTTCTAATGTTGCAAAGCATGTAATATTTAAGATATTATTATTGGATTATTGACTGTAGAATTTATTTTTATATTTTATGTGATAAATTATGTGAAATATTGAGTAAATTAATTAATCTAAATTAAATTCAAATTTTTTTGTCATCTATTATTTAATAATTCTAATTAAACGTTGATATTTATATTTCTATTTACAGTTGTCAATTTGCAACTTTAGAAATATATTCTGAAGAAATCTTGCATCTTAATTTCAAAATTTATCGTTCACGGTAGATAATTTCTTTTCAGTGATCATCATCGATTGTTCCCCACAGCGAAATTCGATATTTAATAAATCCGATCGTATTCAAGCTTGGAAATGTTGAACACGCTCGTATTTAGTTTCACCTCTGTTTCGCATAAATTGTCTCGTGTCCACGCGCGGTACGCGCGATAAATCCACGAGTGCCGGCTGACACGCGTCTTTCCCTGTGTCGTAAAGCAATTAAAGTGACGAGGATGATGCAGAGACATGTGATACGTCTGCGAGCGATGCTTTTACAAACTCGAAAATGTCGGTGAGTTTATTTGAGCAAGCCAGAACATATACAGTATGTGGATGGAGAAAAATAAGATTTGATTTAGAAAATACTTTATGTAAAAGTAATAAAAAATATGTAATAAATAATAAAATTAATAGGAATTTATAAATGTAAAAATTTGTATAATTGCTAGAAGTAATAAAATAGTTGTAAAAATCCAATTTGTGATGTGACTGATATTTAAATAAAATATATAATTATATTTGAAAATTTGAAAAAATTCGAAAACTCTGTTTTAAATTGAAGAAAAATGTAGAAAAACAAAAAATTTGAAAACTTCAATGTATTATTCGTTGAATTTTTTTTTTTAATAATAAATAAAATGCTATAAAGTATTCTATAATTTTAAAAATGTTCGTAAATAATTGAACAAACGAATGATTTTATATAAGTAAGAATCAATTGATATTACAGAAAAAGTAATGGGCAATAAAAAGAAAAAAAAAGAAAAAAAAGATAAGAAAGAGAAAACCATTGCATAATACGTTAAATCGAATTTCATTCTCATTGTTCTTAATTCCAGGAGCTCCATTAAATTCGAAGCAGATGCATATAAAAGAAATATGCCCATTTCATAAATTACATGATAATATAAACCGAAATTACTGATTCAACCTTATATAATCGTAAATTTGATGGGCCAAAAATGTAAGTCTGAAAGAAGATAAATCCAAAGAAGAATTCTTGAATTCTTTTGCCAACCTTCTTTTATAACCATTCAAATCAAATATTGATAGACTTTTGAATTCTATATTAAACTAATAAAATGAGTATGAAGAATAGATAATTATTTGTATTTATTTTTGCATGTAAAATGTTAAGAAAATAAGCTAAAAATCTTAATTTTTAAAGTCAATATTCATTGGAGGAATAATATTTATTTCTTTTCATTTTTTTTTTAAATTTTCATTATATTATAGTTTTCTTATGTAAGACAATAATTTATATCAACAATTTATATCAGAAAAAATACTCTTGAAGTAAAATATATATTCAAAAAAAGAATTGAATATTTCTTCTTATATTCTTTCATGTTCCTTGAAAAAAGAAAATAACACAAAGGAAGGAGAAAGAATGAAGAAAAAAAAAAAGAAAAAAAGAGGAAAAAATGAGAGAAAAAGGAAAAAGAAGGAAAATGTAATGCCAAAGCATTACGTACAACAGAGTTTGCGTTTTTGATTTCGTAAACCAAAAAGGAAAAAATTACAGTCATTTAATTATCCAGAAAAAAAACTGATTGACGATAACCTGCCGGATTATAATAGCATTCTTCTGTTCACCTCCTTTATGAGAATAAACAAAGAGGCCGATGCGCGGTTGCACTATGTTGTATATACTTAAAGTTTAAGGCGAAGTAAAAGTTCAACGCGACACTGTTTTATTAACAAACAAAATTGGAATGTGAGTGTAAAACATTTGATCAAAAAAAAAACCAGGAAGTAATTTTTTAATTAATTAAGGAATATAGAAATTTTCCTTTTCAAGATAAAATTCTTCTAATTATATTTATTATTTTTAATTTCTTAATACTTAAATGTGATCCTAATTAAATTCTGAATGTGTTCTCTTTTTTTCAGGATTTGGATCAACCATTTACATGAAGCAGATCACAGCGAGCGATCGCTTAGTCTTGGTAAGACTTTAAGATTGAGGAGACCGAAATGTCAGGAGCGAATGATTTAAGTCGTGAAGAAGAAATGAAAAAAAAATGAAGAATAAATGAAGAAAAGGTTAAAAAAGAGGTGAACGAACAAGAAAATCTATAAGATAAAGATGTTCTAGATGTTTTCATGAGAAAAAGAGAGAAAAAATATTTAAGAGAGAATGCATTTAAGTTTCACATCTAGATGCTCCACGAAATATGCAGATCTCTGTGTGAGTTATTGCCACGGTTGAAAAACTCGGATGAACTCGTTTCGTGGCAGTGAGATTTGGCAGTGAGATCTTTGGTAGAATAGGAATGAAACTCGGTTTAGGAGTTCATAATGAAACAGAAGAAGAGACAAACAGAAGATTCAGAGAAAAGATTGCATCCGTTTTCTTGTTCTAATTGACGTTTAAATGCTATTTATGTTTTGGAAATTTGAATGGATTGTGAGATATTACAATAGGTATGATTGTGTAGTTTGAAATATTTGATTACAATTCAATTTGAATTTAGGTTTAGCTTTTGTAAAATTTTAAAATACTCTTCAAGATTTTGGAAGATAATAATTTTAAAAATTTCAATTTTTGATATCGAAGATTTAAATTCCTATTATATTATTACTATATTATTATTGGATAAAATTATAAAGTGTTGGATTGTAGAAAACCTTGATCTTTTCAAAATTCTTAATTCTAGAATTGTAGATGTAGATTTCACTGTTGTAGATCTAATTGTTTAATTTCAGGAATACTGAATTGATATTGAAAGGTATTCATTACTGACATAATGAGAAGTACTATTATATTTACTAGATTCTATATAATGATACGTGAAGATCTTAAATCGCGCGTCCTCGTTTCAACCGAGATGCACCGTGAAAATCACTAGTTTCCTTTTTCGTTATAATAATCAACCGAGTTTGACATTGACATTTAACTGACAATGATGTAATTGGTAACTTTTAAAATTAAGTAATAGTAATATAAAAGTGATAGGTTTGAAAAAAACTTGAGAAAATTCTAATTCATCGTATAATTTCTTATAAACTCATACTTAAATAATTTATATAATATAATATTTTCAAAAATAATATTATAACATAAATTTTATATTAAATACAAACTTAAACTCTGAATATAGATGAGAAATATCGCAAGAAATTGTCAATCAAATAATCTATTTTATTAACTAAAAAAAATAGAGCTTATCAATATTTCTAAAACAACTATCACTATTCTTCAAATAAGAACAATTTCATCTTATCATTCAATTCTTAACAATATAAACAATATAGATATTAGTAAGCAAGCAATATCTTACTCATAATATTAAAAAAAATTATCAGTCAAGTATTCCATTATTTTTTAAAATAATTCATTTTATCGTTCAATTCTTAATATAATAAATAAAAAAAGATATTTGTAAATACATTTTTATGAATTATAGTGATTAATATAGAATTATAAGTGTGTATTAAATTTCAGTGATGGGGTGTAAGGTTCGGATCTTTCGGATCTCTTGTTTTCACATCAAGGTGATGAAAGGAAGAGACCAAGTGGAACGTAGAATTCGCACGAGTGCGCGAATTCAATGGAAGGTTATGAATATCCGATCCTCTGTCGAAGTTGCGTGTCATAGTTAGCCAGCTTCTTCGCGCCGTGACGCCTTTGTCTGTTGCGCATCCAAGTAGACATTCCCTCGGTCACGATGAAAGTGAAAATCTTCGTTCTAGTCGCGGATGACCTACTGTTTGCCAAGAATCTGGGTGCTCCGTCAAACCACGACCATCTCATTCCGCCAATTCCCGTATCATGAACCACTTACGAAGATAAGCTATTGATCTGAATAACTATACTTTTGAGTAGTCATTCATGATTGATCTCCTGCCTTATCTCTTGAAATTTAACTGTTGGAAAATTTCTTAGCTATTCAAAATGTATATAGCATAATGTTTCCTTTCTAGATTTAGATATTCAAAAGTTATCTATCAATGCATAATTCTTTTTTTTTTTTTTTTGTAATACTTAAAAGTTATCTGTTAATACATGATAGTTTTTTTTCAGATCAGTTCAATAATTATGTACAATTAACATTTTGTTTAAAACAAGGAATATGAAGATGTAGAGAGAATGGATGATAAACTGGGAGCATTTACACGGGAGCTTGAAGAGAGAGGACTGTCTCACTCCTGTCATTTTAGCGATTAACATGCACGTGAAGACGTGTTCTACAAGTCACGGGCGGATTATTAACCATCGCTTTAATAATGTGTAATAATATGGTGTATAATGCCTCTAGATATTATTTTCAAATGTTGCAATTTTTATATCTGTGATAATTTAAGTGACCTTTCTTTTTAAATTCCAATTTAAATTTGAGCTAATGTTACAGAAATTCTTAATCAAGAATACATTTGATACTTCATCTAAATAATTGAATCTTTAATAGTTTCATTATGGAAATTGAATCTTGGATAGATAAACGTGTCTAAATCTGGAATTGGCATGTACAGACTAACAATCACAATTTAAGTAATGTCGACCCTTGTCAAGGAGTTTGAATGGCAGTGAAAGATTGAAATTGCAAGAATCATCTGTGTTGATATAGATAATCCTATAGGGATTTCACAGATCACTTTTGACATAGTTTTGTAGAATTAATTCATCATCTTTACATAAGAATCATTTTTTTCTCTCTCTCCTCTACATATATATTCTAAATATTTTCATTATTTTTTAATTTATTATAAGAAGATATATTTAAAAAGATTTTTGAGAAGGTAAAGCTTTTTTTAAATTATTTTTTTAAAAATTGTTTTTTTACAAATTGTTTTATTTTAGAATGAATATTTGAGAAAAATCTACAGCAACAAGAAAGATTTCTCTTAAATAAATGACTTACATTTGTCATTTTGTAAAAAAAAAACTGAAAAACAATCTTCTTCCAAATATTCTGACAAGTATTTTTCAAATAACATATATTGACAAAGATATATGTATCTTTATATGGAAGCATTATTCCTGACAAGCATTTTAATTGGAAATGGCTACCTGCTCGACCATAATTGACGGATTCCCAGTAACACTGATATTTCATTAAATTTACCGTACGTCAGTTCAATTCGATTTGGTAGTTGCAACCATAACTACATTTCTGATTGCTCGCCTCTTCTACTATTTTACCAATCGACACTTCCATGATGCAATTACTAGTTGATGTATATTAAAGCTTCAATGCAGAATATAATTAATAAACGTAATATAATAGTAGGCTTTCTATTACCCAGTGTCTATAGTAAAAAATTTTATCTTTTATATTTTTATTTTCATTATTTTTGGTAAAAAAGTTAATTCAAGTATTTTTTATAATATATTTAATCTAATATGTTTTATGCAATATATTCAAAAGAATAAATATGTAGAAGGCATATAAAATATAAAAAAACAAAAATATAAAAATTACAGTAGATATTAATTTATAACATCATATTAAAAAAGTAAAACAATTCTTTATTTAGATTCAATTTGTTTAATTATATATATATAAAATTGGATTATTAAAATATCTGTAGAAAATTGTATAGATTTATATGAATATTATCAAAAATGAAAATGATATACTAAAAATAACATTCTGTTGCTCAAGAAGTGCTCAAGATGCAAAAATGTATAAATTCTCTTGAAATTTAATATCAAGTCAATTAACAAGTTTACAGTAACAAAATGCTTATTTGAACTTTACTACTTGTTAACGTAATTAATTTAAACTTAAATAAGATTTAAATCAAAAATTTAAACTCTTTCATTTATTTAGAATGATTACAATCTTGCTTTTACCATTAAAGCGAAGAAATATATTTAATACGTTTCTGAATCTCTGTCTCAGACATTTCCATGTTATCTTAAAAATAAAATGTTCATATTGATAGAGATAAAATGGTTAGTTAAATTCACTAACGTAACTTGACTAATATAAAAGTGGCCTTAAGGTGAGAATATGGATGCAATATCGGCAGTAGATTATTAGAAAATAGTTTGCTCTTTCTCATCGAGTCTGAGTAAAAGGAAGAGGACGATTCGCAACGAACGTTGCAGCCTTGATGACCGTGGAAAAATTAAGCTGGAAGAGAAAACTTTCTCATGACTGCGACGGCCGTCACCAGCCGAGCAATTAGTTCGCTTTACGATCATGGAATCTTAAAAAGTTTTCCACTTTTTAAAACGGTTCGAGGATCGTGCGATTACGCAACAGTCACACCGGCGCCACCATGGATTTTTTTCTTCTTCCGCTGAGGTTACGCTCGAAGCAGTAAAAATAAATTTGACGATTGTCCACTGTAACATTTCAGCTTTTTGCGTTTCATAAATTTACACTTGATATCGGCGCTTTGGAATTCACTCGACCGCTTTCTCCGTAAAGAAAGTGAAGTTGCAAGAAAGAAAGGTAAAAATCGATCGAAAAATAATTATTCAAATTTTCCTCCGTTGATTATGGAAATTAAATTCAATTTCAAAATTCAATTTTTCTTTTTTTCTAGCGTCGAAAAACAAAATATCATTCTACACGAATGAATGGAGGAATAACTTGACGCCCACTATGAAGACATGCACATCGATTTACGTCATTCTTATAGAATTGTTGTTCTTACTAAAGATGTTTGTTGTGGCATGTTCATTGATGAATTTCTTTCTGAATCACGCCAGTGGGCGTAACCGAGATTCGTAATTATCTGATAATTCGTCTAATGATATTCTAACATCAGTTTCATAATAGAGAGATGCAATCCGTTCGAGATGAATGTCCTAGGCTAAGAGCCCATCATGCAGTTATTTCGCAATATTTTTCGCACCACTTCCCACGATCAGCGATGCGTAACCTCTTTCACATTCAATACGTTCAATAGAAAATTATAATGGAAAAATTATAAGATTCGATTAATTATTAATACATAAATTTCTTTTACAATGCTGGAAGATAAAATAATGATCTAAAAGATTGATGTGTAAAATTGTGAAAGTTTATTTACGAAAGAAATATTTATTATTTATAAATTGATTGTTTAGATAAATGATTGTTGGGATATGTGGCACATTATTAATATCTGCTATATTAACATCGTTAAAACTTACTGGTACGATTTTCTAGAATTTTAGAGAATGAAAGAGAAATGAGAATAAAATATAAGAATGGAAGACTCCACAATGTAAGCAATTTTATTAATTTTTTGATGCGGTATGATTAAGAGTAATGGCTCAAGATTATTATTATTATCTCATATGTAATTATTATTCAAGATAAATCTAAAAGTTTTACATATTCAATATTTTTTTTCACTATTTTTCTTCTTCCAATTAAACTTCAAAAATATAATAATCTCAGGTACAGTGAAATTAAAATTGTATCTTATTATTACCAATTTCTGATTATTATTTAAATGTCAAAAGTTGAGGTTAATAATTATAAAGTTTGTCATTGATTTGTTTATGCATCAAATGAATAGAAATAGAATATGCGAAGAGTAGAATTATGTTTGATCTCCGGTGATGATAACCGGTTCTAATATGTCACCGACACATAGAAAATTTATAACTTGATATTTAATCTTACCAAATACAATTGTGAAGCATAAGTCAATTTAATCATCAATTTTTGTATAAAGGAAAAAAAGTCAGCAATATTTAATGTATTTTAATAGGAAAAAGAGTAATTTAATGATTTTAAATTTCAAAGAGAATTGAAACATTTAAAAATTTATTTGTTAACTTGAGACAAATGACATATCAGTTAATTATAATTAAAAATTCTATTCATGAAAGATTAATAAATTTAAAATTTTGAATAATAATAAAACCAGTAAGTGAAAAAAAATCGAAGTTCTAAATTTATTTTAAATTATTTTAAATTGATTCTAATTGGTATTCTTAAATATTCTTTAAACATAATATTCATCTATTAAACATAATATAAATTGTAATCAGATTAATCATTGCATTTAAGAGATGATATATTTTTTCTACTTCAAAACTTCAGTCAAATTACCACTGAATTAAAGCATCTCCTCGGCCGTGAAAGGGTTGAAATAACATCGTGCTCTGCCCTGACCTGGTCTTGCTCGTTAAATGTACGTAAAACTACGCAGGAGATGGATTATTTGCTAACCAATTCCGAGCGTGCGTACCTTTCTCTACTTACCTGTTGATACCGTGTACGTTGGATATGCTAGGAATTTAAAAAAAATGGATTCTTTTTATTCTTTATTTTCTTGAAAAGGATCAATCAATCTACTTGGAAAACTTTTTTCCAATCAAGACAAAAAAATAAAATGAAGGATAAAATGATATTAAATAAGACGATATTAATAAAAATATGAAAATCAGATAAATATAAAAGATTATCAAATTGTAATATTAGAAATAAAAATAATTAACAGAGTATTTATGATTGTATGAAAAAAATTCATAGAACAAAATTATATTATTTGAAGTGACACATATAAGGTAAGATAATTTTCTTCAAATTAATTTTTTCATTCCTTTTTTTGATTTGTCGCAAGATAATGAGAAGAGAATAAAATTATAAAAATACTTCAGTGTGATTCAACCTCTGTTCTAAACATTTATGAAATATCAAATTCTTTTCGATCCGTAGCACGATATATAATCGATGGAATGACTTCTTCATGCTGCACCTTCGAGGCTAGAAGTCAAACAGGCGCCTCGAAAGATCATTTGGATCACATTGATCCGGATTAATGTCTTCTCACGGTGAAGTTAAACGAGCATGTATAGGTTTGTCAATTTTTTTTTTTTTTACAATATATAATTGCTTTACGGTGGTGTAATGTTGATTACTCAACGCAACATCTTTATAAAGTATACATAATTGCTTCCCGATATATCTTTGTAATTAGTTTTTTGTATTACAGATTTCCGTATTCCGATGAAAGATTAGATTTCTCATGGTAATTATCATTGCTGCTACGAAGAAGAAGCTCTATTAAAATTAATAATGACAGATGTAACATAGAAAATGATATCTTTCTTCTTATTCTTGTATTTAGAAATTATGCTCTAGAAGATTATTATCTATAAAAAATGAATTTTGTGACGAAGAAAGTAATCTGAAAATATGTTGCTAAAAATTATAAATATTTATAAGCCAAGATATTTCAGATTAAAGCTGGATAATAAAAGCTTAGAAATTTCACAAAACTAGAATGGGCTCAAAAAACTGAAACATTGTTATTTGGAACATTATGAATCAAGATTTATATTAAAGCAAAGGATTAAACAATGGCAAGAAGTTAACAAATTGATGATACCGATTTATGAAAGAAAGAAAGTGGTGCAAGATTCACCTTATCCAGATCGATCATGACAAGGTTCTAAGGCAAGGTGAGGCAAGGTAAGGCGAAACAAGGCAACATGCATCATTGGTCCCCTCTTTCTGTTCTGCTTCGGTCCCAACACGCGTTCAGGTATCATCTTATTAGACCCACGCTATATAAACCCAACCTGCCAGCATGCCGGCCAGTTACGTACTGACTTTATTCACAGTCGTGCCGGAGTGCATTGATATCGTACAATAACGAAACACGTGCCTCATCGTATTTGTGAATTCGTAAGGGTTGCTCGAGAAATGTTAAATATATAGTTGATCATGAAGACCTCGGTGATATTTCATCGTTCGACCATCACTCGGTGACGGTGCTTTATTAACCCTGATACTGGGATCAGATATATATATATATATATTTTTATAAAGTGACGTTTTGTGAAGGAGATTATTCGTTATGGATGCTTTCTGTGATTCAGGATTGTAATTTTTCTGATTGGTGATTGAAAGAAAAATTTTCGTTTATGGATAACTGTTAATTCATAAACGTTTTGTACGAGTTAATTGTTTCTTGGTGTAGTGAACTAGAATCTGCAGAATTTAAGAAGAAATATCTTCTTGAAAGTATTAGCTTTTTAGAATAATTCTAATTATAATATTTGAAAATAGAATCTTGCAAGATGATACTTGAACTATCAAAGAAATTTGCTGATTAATAGATATATATTTTTTTTTATAATCCTCTATAATACCATCATTTAAAAATACATTTCATAATGCACTTCATAAAATTAGTCAGTATGTTACTTACTAATTTTAATTTCTTTCTGCAGATAATGTCATAATGTAATATATGCATTTCTAAGTATCAAGTTTTATTTTAACTAAAAAAAAAAAAAAAGAAATATCACAGTTATATAGAGATTTTAAAAGAATTGGATAACATTTAAATTTTCAATTTTTTTTAGAAATGTTTTCTAATACTGATACAAATTTAATAATTAATTCTAATTAATTTTAACTATGATTCAACTCAGACGAATAAAATAATTAGTCTCTATATTCAAGTGAAATAAACTGAAGAATGTGCAGACAAACGAATATGTTCCTTTCATCAGTATCGCGGGAAAACTTAAAGGGGATTTGCAATCGTGTAGTTCGCGATTCTCAGGAGGGAGTGGTACGCATGCATGAAACGAATATGAAAAATCGTAGAAAAGTTAGGGTGTGGTTAACCATGAAATGTCGTCGAGGTCTTTCAACCCTTTACAAAGCGCATATTTCTATGGAAATAAAATAATATATATTTCCATTGTAAATGAATAGTTTTGGAAATTATAATTTCTCTTTACCCTTTTAGTACTTGAGAGGCACAATGTTCAGGCTTGGTATTTTTTTGTTTTTATCTGGTATTCTGTAATCAGTTAACGAGTCCTTGAAAGTTAAAATTAAGAGAAAATATTGATTTCTATTTTACATTTTTGAAAGAAATTTGTTCAGACATAAATTTTCAAAAATTAGAACATAATTAAATTCTCATATATTGTAAACAAATATCAGATTACAAAAAATATATAATATATACAGTTGAATTAAAATTAAAAAATATTTAAAATATTAAATATTTTAAATTATTGAAGTATTAAATGCATTATAAAAATATATGCATTATAAAGAAAATATTTGTTTGTTCAATAAAAACTATTAGAACAATCTTATTCAGATTTCTAGAATTCTAGAAATCTTAGATATTTATATGTTAATTTATATTTGAGAAATTGTGAAATGATTGCACAACTTTGAAAATATTTTTCATTTGAAATTCAAAGATTAAATGTTGCCTTTATTCGTCATATTAGATTATTAATTTGAATTCTGATTCTTTATCCTTTTTAAGTCTCTACAAGTCGATTACATGAAATAAAAACCATGGAATAATGAAAAAGAATAATGAAAAATTAATTAAGATCTATGATGCTTTTATAAAGGGTTGATTTTATATGTCTTTTCACAGTGCTCTTTTAAAAAAAGCGATACGTGAGTGAAATTCTGATCCTTTGGCTTTCTTCACAATATGTTTTATCTTCAGGTGAGTGATTAAAAAATTCAATTTTTTAAGATTTTATAATTTTTCAACAATTAATTATCTTATCAATTAATCCTCTTATTTTTTTCAATAGAATATATAGTCAAGAAAAATCTATTTGTTTGGATCCATTTGAAAGCCAGAAATACTTTCAGACAATCACTCTCAATGCATTTCATCCATTTCTAGAAAAAATATCAATAATTCTCAAAAGTTTTATTTTCAATTATATATTTATATCCTTAGATGTGATTTCTCTTATTTAAATTAATGCACAATTGCTAACATTTAATTCAAAAAGAGTCAGGTATTTAATATAGTTAATAGTCTAGCCAGTGTGGTCTGTCTAATTATTATAATTAATCGCAACCTCTCTACCATTTCTGCACCCACGATGCATAAATCTCAATTCTCGTGCGATGGAGAGAAAGAGAGAGGTGTCAACAAATTATCTTGGGTATCCGTATGGTCTTGCAGACTTTGCGATTAATCAAGAGAGATGAATCACGCAATGCAATTGATTTATCGATTTGTAATCCCTCTGAAGACTATTAGAAATGGTTAACGAGAGTGAGAAAAAAGAATTGTAATCAAATTCGTTATCCGTGAAATGATATGAATAACATATGAAATATTGCTTATGTGAAATTTGTAGTTAGTTATTCGCTTAAGATACTTATTCGTTTGGAATTTTTGATCTTTTAAAATATTTAAAGTAAATTTTGTGTTTTAATGTATTTCTACAATCTTTATATAATAAGATTGTAAATATTTAATATATGAAGTTTTTATGATTTATGAGTAATAAATGAATTTTTATTGTTTATATTTCTTTCAATTATACACTATTATTTTCTTTTTCATAGTTTCATTAAATCGACTTCCAGCTATGTTTTGTGCAATTTACATGGTAATTATGATCCCTCTTCCAAGATTTAAAAAGAACTTGCATCATTTTGGCTGTGACAATGAATGTTAAACAATAACTGGTGAAACAATGGTGTAAGCTAGCTTTTCCTTTAGTTGGTAAATTTAAATAAGCGACGAGGCCGGTAAGAGAAGATTGTTTAATATTCTTCGCGAGATTGTGAATCATTTTGCAATATTTCAAGCATTTCCTAGTTTCTTCTTTTGATTTATTCTTCTTGATTGACTTTTAAACGAAGGTTTGTGATTCATTTCCTACTTTCTAGATATTTTTTTTTTATTATATCATAATATTATATCATAATATTATATCTATTTCATAAAAATTTCTAAAAATTTATTACTATCATATGAAGAATAAAGATGTATATAGGAAAAAAATTAGAAAAATTAAAAAATTTAATTCTCTTTTCTTATATTTTTTCACTTCAAATTTATTCAATTCAAATTCTCTTTCTTTTATTTCTTTAATATTTTAAATATTAGAAATTAATTTTTTATAAATTGACCTTTAAATGTAATAATATAATAATGTCAGATCAAATGTTTATGATCTCCAAATTCCCCACAACACAAAAATGAATTTTTTAAACTAAAATCTTAAAGTATTCCACGCTGCATTTCTTCGACTGATTGATATTTCCATGGAGTAATATTGCACGTGGTTAGTGTACAGTGAAACGCTGATACACGTAATAGAGAAATAAATGAGTGGTTAATTGCTTTCCTGATAGAATCTTTTCTTCTGGTATGTCGTTATAAGACATTTCATCGAAGATTATAATCGTTACATCAGATAGATCAATTGATGATGTCAATGAAATCACACGGCGAGAAATGTAGAGAAATGTAAATGAATATCCTGGTAATTTTTTTTTTTTAATTTTTAAAAACTTAGTATAATATGAAAGAATAACTTTGAATAATAATTAAAAATATAGGTGACACAGTTTGCCTAAGATGAATGAAGTGAATTGAAATATTCACTTTGTGATAAAATAACGCTCGTACATATTAATTATGTAATTAGCAACTGAAATGAGTCGAAGAGAATAGCTTCGCACGCATTCGTTACACGAAGCAAAGGGACGAAGTAGAAATGAGGCGGAAGATGTGCAATTAAATTGTTGCACAACCACTGCGAGTAAGCGACACATACGCACAATGAAATATTCTTCGAGCAATTACACCTCGTTTCAAGCACTCCTCTTTATTCTTTTATTTTTCTAATTGCCTCTCATTCTAATGATTTACTTTTACTTTTCTAATAATTAATCCTCACTATCCTTTCTAGAACAAGGATGTTTGAAATATTACGTATTGAAAAAAATATATTAAAACTTTTTTCTTATGTCATATCATATTCATGATATGTCAAAATCATATATTGTTTAAATTAATGATAAGTATATTATATGGTGAAATGTGTTATTGGATTTGAAAAAGTTTAACAATTACTATCAATTATAACATGTGTTCTAAGATACTGTGTTTATGCAATTCTTTAGTCTCTAATTAAGGAAAGAGATGCTCGTGAATGTTGCATTACACACTTGTTGACTACTTAAACACAAATCCAGCTATATATCAATTTGCAACACGCTAATAGTTCATTATATTCGCATCATGAATTGTGTTTCATATGATGTGAACTGACACGTTGTTTTATATAGAACAGGAAATGCGATCCCAATAATGATTTTTCCGTAATTTACTGTGATTGCATAAATGGAAGTAAGTGGCTCAAGTAGGAGGATATCTATTTTTCAATAAACAAAGATGATGTTCATAAAGGATTGACTAATTAAATATTTATTCATCCATGCTCTAATCAATTTCTTCTTCTGTTCTTATAATAGTTTTCTTTTTTATGTTCTTTTTTTGCAAAACAAATGTCCTGTTTTCTATTCCACTTTCTTTATACTTTATTGTAAGATTTTTTTCTATGATTTCTTGTTAAGAAATATTTTTTTACAAAAATTGTACATCAATTGATATTTTTTGTTACAGATAGCAATAATTTGCATGGCAATAGTCCATATAATATGCGATCTACCACCTGGGACAAGACGTAATACATATCTGCCTCCTGAACCAACTAAGGGTTACAATTATGGCACGCCTTCGATACCATTTCCAAAACCAACAACTCGACCACCATTTACTACACCACCCAGCCATACATATCCTAAACCAACCACAAAATTTCCGACGAGGCCTTCCAACGAAGGTTATCCACCTCCTACTAAACCTACTGTGGAATTTCCTGACATAACCAGACCTACTGGAACTACTATACCAAATAATGGTGTAAGTAATGATGAAAGAGATCATTTTACAAAATTGTGATAGAAATGAATAATTGGCAATATATTAAATATATTTATATTAAGAAATACTCTCTTCACTTTCTTTATTTATCTAATATTTACTCCCTTACAGTTATTTTAATAATTAAAGCTTAAAATTTCATGAAATTATTCTCACCATTTTATTTTGTCCTTAATTGAGCTATTCTTATTACATAATTTTTATAATTTAATTCCAGCACGATCACCATCACCACGAGCCAGGCATGCCATTTGACTTCAACTACGCGGTGAAGGAAGACGCCTTTGGAAACGATTATTCGCATAACGCGATAAGCGATGGTGACATCGTCCGCGGGGAGTACAGAGTTCAGCTTCCTGATGGAAGATTGCAGATTGTCCGCTATACTGCCGATTGGAAGCATGGGTTTAGCGCGCAGGTTTCCTACGACGGAAATCCACGTTTTGACGTCTCTCGACCGCCCGGCAATTTTGCAGGCTATTAAGTTATTAATGTCCAGTTTATGGTTGCGAACCATGTTAAAATGTTTGTCTTGCGGTTTTTATTGTTGGTTTCCACGCCTTTGTCCATTGGGCGTTTGGATCGTTCGTTTTCAGCATATCGAGTCAATCGTTTAAAAAGAAATTATTAGATATTTTAATTGTTTTTATCTTTTTTAAAAAAAAAAGTTAAGTGCTAATATTTTTTAATAAAGAAAAAACTTTTTTTAGAAAGAAAAAACCAAATCTAAAAACCAATCGAGAGATGTATTTATATTTTGTATTTATATTTATTATTATGAATTTGATTTTGTTCTTATTACGTATTTTGATTAAATAGGTTTATCTCGATTAACTCAATTTGTTGAATATACGATAGCTGATTGTGAGATTATTATTCTTTATCTTGTCCTTTTCTTTAATGTCGTCAAATAATGGTTCTAGAAAAAGTGGCATCATTTGAATATGCAGATTTTTTTCTTAAAAGAATTTTCAAAACTTTTATAATTTTAATTTTATTGATAATTTTATTAATTAATTAATTTTAAAAGTCTTAGATTAAAAATTTTAAATTGCTGAAATGGAGAATAATTGTGTAAAGTATGATACTTTTTTTTAAGGTATCTACAATTTTATATTAAATATTATATAAAATATTTTATAATAAAATATGAATGAAAAATATTATTTTTGCGACCAAAAATGGTTCAATACCAACTGGTACTTATTCGATATTCTTAGCCATTGCAAAATCTAGATCTAAGTAAAAAAAGACCTTAGGCCAGAGTATATTTTATATTCTCCAATTATAGATGTGTTCATTGAACATGGATACACATATAGGAGAAAAAAAATAAAAAAGTTTCATAAAGTCAAGGTGTACTTCTTTTTGAAACATGAAGTAGCTAAGGACTAACTTGTAGTAATAATAATTTGTTTTAAGGATGCTGATGAAATAATACTAACCCTCTGCTATCACGTATGGCTACTTTGTTTGTAAAGATTTTATAAATTGTATGATAATTTACAAAGTAAAAAATATGAATGATGTTATATAAAATTATTTGAACATATTTCGTATCATTAATTGATAGGAAGGATGAAAGCGATGTATAGAAATTTAAAGATTTTTATAAATACCAAATGATTTGATAATAAAAATGTATATGCTTTTTAATATATTTATGTATTTCTGATTATTTTTATATAAATATATTATATATTATATATTTTTCTTGTAAAAAAATTTATAATTATATCTTGTCATTTTAATTAAATACATTTTTTATATATATATATTCTATAATATATAAATTAAAATGATAGATTAATTATAAAGAATAATTTGTTGCGGTAGTTTGTTACCATGGTTAAATTGATCGTTGCGCATGTGCATTCATGATTCTTTGTAGAATAAGTACAAAGTAGTAAATATCTTTTACAATCTCAACAATTTAACGTCTTGTATCAAAACTTTAATAAATTTATTTATTTAGAAAAATATAAAGTTAAATAATTATAAATAATAAAATTATAAAATTATTTAAAGTTTGATCGGGATAGATTGTTAATAAAGGAAAAATGAAACAAAAAATAAAAGTGTATAAAAATAATTTCTGAGCAAATTTAATTTTCATTTAAATAGTTGTAAAGAAAAAAAGATTAAAGTTTTGTTCAAAATGACTTTACCATTGTCAAGAATAGATTATGCAACTGTGGGTGTCACATCCAGAGGAACCACCAAAATCTTTCCTGCAACAGAACATAGACATACACAAAAATTTGCTGTTGCTGATCATGATGGTATACTTTATGTTTATGGTAAATTACAATTTTTTTATATTCAAAATAATTTTAAGCATAAATTTGATTTTATAAATATTTGTTTATTTTTTTTACTTTTTTACAATTTTCAAATAAATTGAAATTACATCAATTTTCAATAAGGTATGAAAAAAGGAGAATTACAACTATCGTTTAAGTCTTTGCCAGGACTAAAGATTAATAAATTAGTCCTTGGTGGTAGTGGATATGATAAAATTTATATTGCACAAGGAAACACTGTAAAGGGATACACTAAAAAAGGAAAATTATTCTTAGAGTTTGATACAAATCTTATAGACCCTATTTCAGCATTGTAAGTAAATTTTCCGATATAATTCGAAAATAATTATTAATATTAAATAATAAATACCAAAACTAAAAATTTTTTATTATTTTTTCAATAAAATTATTAGAAATTTTTTTATAGATATGTACTTGGTCCAGACTTAGCAGCATGTGCAAGAGATCTCTATCACAGATACCATGATTGTAAAGATGCTGATTCTTATTTAGCCGGTGAAACCTTGTACGATGTTGTACTTTTATCTGCTGAAGGCTCTATTATTTTTGCTATATTGGCTTGTGGAGATTGTGCTGTAAAAAATATTAAATTAACATTTATAAAATTAAAAATTTTAATTTTCAAATTAAATTTTAATAAATTTGATTCTTTTCAGATAAGAGTTCTTCATGGTACCAAGACTCCAGCAATTCTTAGATTACCAAATATACCTACAGTACTATCCATATACAGGTTTCAAATTTTTCAATTTTTTATTAATTTTATTATTTTGTTTAGTTTCCAAATGTTCTTTTAGTAATTTTGTAGAGAAGGCGGTGTTGAATCTAAAGAACGAGTTCTGGTTGGAACTATGGATGGAAAAGTTGGTTTACTGATTCTTCAGGGTAACAAAACATTGAGGATCACTTGGCTTTTAAACATGAATGGATCAGAAGTTACTTCTTTAGATACTTATGAATTACAAGATGGTCTAGATATACTTATTGGCAGACAGGATGGTACTGTTGAAGTGTATACCTTTCCAGAAGAGGATACTTTACCTTTACTTCGTTATCGTTATGTAAGAGCATTATATTTAAATATTTGGAGCTTCGATTTAATTTTTTAAACTTTTTAATATTATTTCCACGATTAAAATTTTTTAAAAAATTATTTATAGAATGCCAGTGAAAGTATCAGTTCAGTGGCAGGAGGAATAATTGGAGCAGCAGGATATCCTGAAGTGTTGGTTACTACATATTCAGGACGGATATTTGGCTTGACTACTAAACCACCAGGACTTCTGGAAGCCGATCAAAATGACGGTTTGACGAAATTAAGATTAGAAATACAACAATTACAAGAAAAGCTTAATGAAGAGAAAGAAGCAGCTACTTTCTCAACAGATCCTTTAGCACCATTGATTCTGTCTGTAAATCATAGGTATAAAATTAGAATTAAATAAATTCATATAGTCATAGTAGTGTCATGTACTATACGATATAATAAAATTTTAAAATATAAATTATAATCTAATTCTTACAGAATGGTCTTGAACAGAGAAGATGTATCATATTCCCTTTCTATAGAACTCGATACACCGATTGATAATATTTTAATACAATCAGATACTCCAATCGAGTTATTGGACGTGGAAAATAATAGTGCAGTAGTTAGTTTGTCGATGTGTAATCCTAGAGAAGGAAATTTCGTTCTTGCTACCTATCGTTGCCAAGTGAGTATAAATTAAAACGTATCTAATATTCAAGCATTACAATACATTATAAACATAATAATACAGATTATTTTTCCCATAGGTAAATACTAATCATCTTGAAATGAGGCTACGTACTATCGAAGGACAGCCTGGTACTTTACAGATTTATGTCACTTCTCAAGTATGTCACAAATCATATTTTTTGAAATATGAGATGATATGTAAAATGTAATTAATTCTTTTTGTAGGTACAACCAAAATGTTGTCGCAAAATATCGATACCTATATCCGCTCTTTCTCTTCACGTAAGACAGCATGAAATGGAAGACACAAAATCTCATAATGAAGGACCATTTAATGAATTAAAATTAATTGGAAATTTTACTGTTGCAGAGGTAAAATTAATTATGTTCGACTGTAAGTGAAAAATATCCCGTACTTTTTTTTATTTAATATTTTTTATAATATATATTTCAGATGCATGCTTGGCTTTCTTTTGTTTTACCCGATGTTCCTGAAAGACCTCATTTAGAAGAAGGTGAAGCTACATTGATATATATTTCAGCTTTCATTGGGACATTACTTAAATGCAAATACAAGTAAGTTTTATACTAAATGAATATTGAACTCTTTGCACTAATATCTTTCTAATTCTTAGGAAAGGAAGTGCAGTTTTTCTTGGAGAAAATATATCAAGCATTATAATTCTTAGAGATATATTAACTAGGGAGGCAACGAAGAGAAAAATTAAATTAGACGTCTTTTGTGGTATATTTACATATATGTTATAATGTCATTTCTATTTCTCTATTAAATTATTTTTATTTAATATTTTAATAATTTTATTTAATATTTTTTTATAGATGTTACTGAGAGTAGCATATCCAGAGTGTTGGAATTAATTCTTCCACAATTGAATGCTGCATACGATTTAGTAACAAATGTGAAAATTTTAAATATACTCGAAGAATTGGAATTAAAAGAAAATTCGAAAGAAAATCTTTGCACGGAATATCAGGAATTGATACAAAAGGAGACAGAGATTAGGTTCCGATTGGCGAAAGATAATGAAATTTTGGAGAGATTACATGCAGTGATCACGGATCTCTATGTCGATTGGGAGAGAGCTAAACGTTCTCGTAGGTATGTATTAATAAATATATGTATTAATATTAACAATTTCAATTAACAAAATTTTGTACTTTTATCTTTCGAAGAATATAATATTCCTCATTTTTTTCAACATTTTTGTTCAAAATATTTTTATTTAATGGAATAGATTCAACAAAACATTTTTTTATTTAATAGAATCAATCTAATCAGTTAGAATATCAATTTATTATTATTAGTACTTTTTTTTTGTTTAATTATGTGATGTCTTATAAATTACAGCAAAATTTCTATAAAAACAAAATGTACAGTACATACAACAATGACAAAATGAATTAACATAAAATTTTGTTTAAGTTTTCTGGTTGACAATAAAATTGAAAAACAGATTAGGTGTATTAAAAATTAAATTTGAATTTTGTTGTTAAAAGTAAAAAATTTTAAATAAATTGCACTACTTTCTGTATACATTTTATGCGTTTCAGAATCAGTAGCAAAGACGCTGCGGATAAACTTAGCGCAGCTCTCAAATCCAGAGAATTGATTCAACTTTTACAAGTTTTTACTGATACAAGTAATACGGTGCCCGCACCATCTTCGATATCTTCGATAATCTAAAGACTGAGCTACGAACATCTTATTTCTTTTGCTTCGTGGAAAATGCAATAAAAATGGACCACAGTATTTCTATAAATGTCTTCACGTAAAAAATATATTTTTTCAACGACGATTCGCGATATAAATGACTAACTTATCTAGATTTTAAAAATGTACATGTACAATATTATCTTGATTATCATTAATTATATAATACAATATATACGTGTTTTATATTTAACCGTGTACGTGTATATGTGCATGCATTTATCCATATGTATATATTATATA